AGTGGCATGTTCCCACACAGTCAGTGACCTCGGCAGCAACAGGATTTGTATCAGCAGTGATATTAAACCCATTCAACAGCCGCAGTATGTACTTGTCAGGAAAAGATGCCGCCAATGCGGAAACATTCCCACCTAAGTGTAAAACATGTACAGTGCTTTACCTGTGGATGTGTAGCCCAGTGTAAAACAATTGCAACTTCCTCAACGTGCGTCACCATGATGAGAGCTTACTTCTTCTCGTGATATTTATGCACGGGCGCGGGTAATATCTAACACTCGTACAATTGTGTGTTTGGTCTTTCTTTTCCCGGAAGCACGACGCCATAGCATTGGCATCACATCTCCCCTTTATATGTGTGAGAATTGGACCTCATGTGGAATGGGCATTGATCATTGCCGATCATCTGATCGGCATTGATCGTTGCCTCATGATCATTTGCCGCCGATGCACACTTAAACTATGACTTCTCGCCATCACCATCATCACGGCCCCTGACTTCTCACCATCACCATCATCACGGCCCCTGCGGTGACCGGCTCCAAAACTGCTGCACGTGAAACTCACCGGAGCTCGTACCAGGTTCCTAGTTTTGCTCACTACGTCACCACATGCTACTCTCTCTCCCTCTCCCCCTCTCTCCCTCTCTCTCTCTCTCTCTCTCTCTCTCTCTTCTCTCTCTCGTCTCTCTCTCTCTCTCTCCTCTCTCTCTCTCTCTCTCTCTCTCTCTCTCTCTCTCTCTCTCTCTCTCTCTCTCTCTCTCTCTCTGTCTGTCTGTCCGTCTTAGCCACTTTTACTCGCCTCCCTCTTGCTCTGCGTCCCTCATCTCTATCTGATGTTGGTTTTATGGCGTAGCATGAAAACATACATTCACAACCATATTTTTGGTACTAACAAATTCGCCAATAGCTATAGATGCAGGTCAGTGACTTAGAGGACAAACGCGCCCAACCTACTCCCTGGCTACGGTATTGGCGAGGGGCCCTGGTGAGTGGCTTAGATGGCATACGCGCCCGACCTACTTCCTGGCTACGGTATTGGCGAGGGGCCCTGGTGAGTGGCTTAGAGGACATACGCGCCCAACCTACTTTCTGGCTACGGCATCGGCGAGGGGCTCTAGTGAGCACATCAGGCGTCGTGACTCCTGATCTTCCCTGTATGCTGCCGACCCCCGGACGGAGCCGGATCTTTGATCGGGTCAGATACTAGCTGATCGTATGACCGTTATCGCCGTTTTTGACCGAGGGATGAGGCTCTCCTCAGCTTGCATCGCCTCGGGCTGAGGATCGTAAGGGAACGTTCGCTGCCTCGAGCTCTCGTTGACGGCCGAGGGATGAGGCTCGCCTCAGCTCGCATCGCCTCGGGCCGAAGATCGTAAGGGAACGTTGGCTGCCTCGAGCTCTCGTTGATGGCCTTGTAATCCATTAAGATTAATCCGAATCATGCCACGCCAGCAAATAAAACCATTGCGTCCAAACGGGCTCGAGTTTTCTTACGAGGGCACGTATCCCTTCTATTAAAGTACTTCCGTCGCGGGTGACAGTGACTGTCGGGCGCCTGTAATGACCCGAGGCGATGACGGCTCGGAGCGGGGGGGGGGGGGGGCATCGATCGGTCGCTCTCCGCTCCGGAGCCGGCGCCCGGGGCGGCCGGCAGCCGGCGGCAGTTCGCGGCCGGTGTCGCGGCGACAGCACGTGAGGCGACACGGCCGCAGTGGCGCGGCGACAGCACGTGAGGCGACACGGCCGCAGAGGCGCGGCGACACACGTGCCGCCCGGGTCTCACGACTTGCACGGCTCGGCGTGACTCGCATGGCCCGGTGTAACTTAGGCGATTAGAGAGACTCAGGAGACTCTGAGTGACCCGGGAGACTCGGTGTGACTCAGGAGACTCCGAGTGACCCGGGAGACTCGGCGTGACTCGGGAGACTCCGGGTGACTCAGGTGCCGGCGTCTTCGGGTGACTTGGGCGCCTCCGCGTGACTCAGGAGATTCCGTGTGACTCGGACGATGCTGGGTGACTCCGGGTGACTCAGGAGACTCGGCGCGGCTCAAGTGGCGTTGCCTGACGAGCGGTAACACCTGCGCTACACGACTAGGCCGAGACGAGCAGTGACAGGTAGGTCTGTGTGAGTGCCGCGGCCGTGGCAGCACCAAGATCCGAGCTCGATCAGCCGGCTGGTGCACAGTGTCTTGCCACCGTTGTGGGGGTGTATGTTTTGGAAAAGCGTTTTGGGACTGATGAGATGCAAGAGCAGAGTAAATGTGCTCAGACCATATGAAATAGACTTTGAGCTATTTAATAACCACCTAGCTATGTAAAACCATTGCAAGGAAATCCTCGTTTCGCAGGGAATGTTTGAGATCGTCACTTTCCTATCTTTTAGATTTTCTGACATGATAGGTGACATGATAGTACCGTTCGTCGTTATAGCAGTTTTTAACTCCAAAATCACGAATACGCAAGAGATGGATTAAGCGTTTAAAGCTAGGCGGAAGACTTACACCAACTTGCAAGCAACTGCAACATGAACAAATCAATGGAGCATGACGAACCGGTAGCTTTAAAGGACACCTATATTAGAGTAAGGGCTGGTGTGCAGCTCAGTGCGTTTAGTTCAGTTTGGTGCGAAAGCTATGTGTCAGTTGCGTGACTGTGCAGGCTGTGTTCGACTTGTGACGGTTCTGGCAGCGTTTGTCCAATTGCAGGCAAGTCTTCCCATCCATTTGTTAGGAGACTTGGGCGCTGTTTAGTCGCTATCTCCAGTAGGGTAGAAAGGCGTGTGGTGTTTGGCCGCTTGTTCATTTAATACCTTACATTCACTAGAAGCCTCAACTGACTACCCATCGACGTCATTCAGGTAGATATATTGGCACATTATGTATTGATGAGCCGCATTGTTTGGTACTTATCGGGACTTTAAGCTGTCCTGGTTCCCTTGGTAATGACTGGGGACGTCTGACGATGTTTACAGGCGTACTTGTATGCGATTTTCTACATGCGTGAACAATATCACCATGCACAGTGTCTCCATCATGCGCTCACTTGTCCAGTTACGATTTCATCGTCGTCAGATGAAACATGCTTTGTTCCACTCAAAACCTGCGTGATAATTTATTGGCACACTAACCAATCTATAGAGTGATTTGTTCACCGGACAAAAACCGACAAATCATGTGCAGAAAAGAAGTAACATTAGAGGTGGTTTCTAAGATAGCGATTCTACAATCTAATCGGCTCCAGGGAGTCTACAAGTTCCCGCCTGGCAACCATATTCCACGCACTATTGGTGTGGCCGTGTGACTGCGTGTGTATGATTTCGTGACTTACAGTGTATGTGGAGAGGCAGGGTAGCCTTTGCCCCATTGGTATCTCTAAAATCACTTGTACGATTTCTTTCGGAAAACGGAGATAGATTCGCCATAACGTTGGTTACATTAATACAAGCTAAATTTTCCAATATGTTGGAAAGGAAGGTGGTTGTTGTACACGATTTTGGTAATTTTGATAAAATATCAGTAATGGGAGTTCCTTGGGATCACTTTTTAAGCGTTTGCGGAAATATCCACTCGGTGGTGTGACAGAAACACAGGAAAGAGTGCATTGAAAATAAGGTGATTGCACATAGAGCGTGCATGCTGAAGCTGGGATGGGAGAGTCACAAAAGGCCAAAGTGGTGGGTGAATTTGGGCATTCTGGTGGTCTGTCACACCGTATCATGCTTTGCTTTCGGAGTGTTGCTTGGTGCAAGTTACACTATTATGTTTCGGTGTGTTTTGAAAGCGTATATTTTTAGCAGGAAGTTCCCACCTATGTATTTAAGGCTGCAACAGTAACAAAAAACAAACAATCAAACAAACAAAGAAAAAAGAAACACGCCCGAATCGCCTTCCATCAGCGCAGGAGCGTACAAAGGGTATCAAAAATAGGCGGCAGAGGGCTAACCAGATTTTGATATGAAAAGGCAACATACACTCACATACACACTTATATGAATATATATATATATATATATATATATATATATATATATATATATATATATATGTGTGTGTGTGTGTGTGTGTGTGTGTGTGTGTGTGTGTGTGTGTGTGTGTGTGTGTAAATCTTACATGCGATGTGCTTCATTGAGCAACGGCTTCATTATCGGATAAAATAATAAACATGATTGGTGTAAACCGTCATGGTTAACACACAAAGACAAATTGAAATTACCACACATGCATATGCAATGACACACGACCAACCCCCAACTCCACATACATGCATCATTTTACCACCAGCTCTTATCAATATCATGAAGTCATTTTATTCCGCGCTGTACGTTTCTGAGAAATAACAAGGGCTCTAAGATTCTCAAATCAAGCGAGGAACATGTCCCGCCCATGACTGACTTCATGGGTAGGGCACGACTGTAGGTCATTGCTAATGGGCGCGACTTCATCATATCCATAAGAAGTTGTGAGAGAAATCGGGGGCTGGTCGTGTGCTATTTTGTGTGTGTTATTGGGTGCGCATGCGTGGTGTTTCAATTTGTTCGTGCGTGTTTTAATCCGTGCTGGTTCACAGATGAGACAGTATTAACAGTTTTATTCCTTGTAGAATGAACAAGAAAATGGAAAAAACCGATGTTATATTTCGGCTACATTTCTTTATTAAAACAAACATCAGTAGTAAATCCAAAATTGCAAATTTTGTAATTCTGCAATTTACTCCTGATCGCTTCATTTTGATAAAGTCACGTGGCCGGAGTATCGCATATATCTCTCTGTTTTCCTGTTTATCCCACGAAGAATAAGACCATTAATGCTATCTCATCTATATGCACAATGTTCTCTCAAATGCACTTGACAACTTACATAGTGGTTCACACCGCTCTCAGCATCTTTCCATCTTGTTTTACAACGCTCCATTTGTGCTGCCCTCGAACCAGGGTTGCCAAGATGCGCCGTCCGCTGCAACCAATTGCACGTCTTTGCACCTAATTTTGTAGTTGAAATTTAGTGACCATTCCGTTGGCAAAGGTGTTGTTATAATCACGTAAACATGGCCAGCAGCGGCCAGACGGGAAATTGAAGCAGAGGTCCTTCCTAACATCTCGTTCTTGAACCGGCGCTGACCAACGTTTTCGTTCCAAATTTGGCTCAGAATCTGTAACAAGTCTTTCGGAAACGACTAACAGAAGAGCACGGGGTGGACTATGTCTCGCGGAACGAGAAAGGTCTTCGGCGTCTGCAAAGCCACTCCGGGCCGCTCGCGAAACTCCCGCCTATTTTCCGCGAGCCGGGCCGCCTAATGACTGTGACGAGGCCAGATGACGCCTGATGTGGGCGGATGACGCCCCTGCCGCCTGCGCCGTGTCAGCAGGTACCGGAGCCGTGTCGACACACCCCTCCAGCGCCGCCAGGCCCCCCCCCCCTCTCACGGAGTCATCACCTCCTGCTCTCTTGCGAGCGCGCTCTCCCCCCGTGCGGAGTCGTCACCCCAGCTGGCCGCCGGCGCTGGGTAGCACGGCGGCAAACGGAGCGTTCAGCCGTCCGTCCGCGGGTCGCCGACCAGGGGGCGGGAGGGGCAAAAGGCGCCGTGGGACGACAGCGCTCTTTGTGTGTGTCGTGGCTCTGTTTATAAAACGGTTGGCGGAGGTCCAGGGCGTCTCGGAGCAGCGGCCGACGGCCAGACCCGCCGCCGTCCTGGCCTATCGATTGTAGCGAGAGGAGCGTGCGCCCCCTCCCCCCGCCCGGCGCCCGCGCTCGGTCTTCCGGATGATGCACCTCAACAGCCCCCGCCCCCATCCCAGTCCTCCTCTAAAGCCGCAGGCTCGCTTCCAAGATTATCGGCGGTGCTCGATGATGCGCCCTCGGCTGACGCAAAACAATGGCCCTCGTCGTGCGGACCTCTGCTCGGCATTTTGATTTTGAGGCGCCATTTGAAGGCACGCTTTTGGTGTTGCCGATAAATACCGCTTGTAATGACGACGTAGGAGGAAGCTATTTTGCAGTGTCGGCCAAAGCAGTGATAGCCGATCTGCTCGTTATGGCATCAAGGCGCCAACGATGTGGCGGTGATGATCAAAGGCTCTTTCGATCTAGCGGGTGGACCTCAGCGGAGCGATGAACAGAGAGACGTTTTGAGACCCCATTCGAATTCCGCGCATCGCACGCATTGGTCAGTGACCTTACCGCGAGTTTTCGGATGGTAGGACAACAGCAGCTGCATGCCTCACTTGACGATGCTTTTGTGACGCCCCACAGGGCTGGGCCAGGTCACGCACTGTATAAAGTGCAGAGGTATTAAGGGTAACCATGGTCGGAACTGGACAAAATCAGCGGAATGAAGGAGAGAGATTAGTACTGGTTAATACAGACCGAGCCGGGGGCGAGGAGCCTGCATTCTCTATTCCGCTTTTGTAATGCTAGGCCTGGCTAAATAGCTCACTGCACCAGAAGCAAGAATGCTCTCTGCACCAAAGGCCAGGAAACTGTTATAAAAGCCCCAATCGACTGCTTGAATATTCCAGCCGCATGTAGACGTGCCCTCCGTCGAAGTCAATGCCAAATACAGCAGTTGGCCCGCCCACAAGTACCTTGTGCAAGTGGCAGCGTGTGTGACATCGAAACTTTTTTAGCGCTAATGACATAAAACGGTGAATCAGAACTAAGCAAGGTCAAACGGCGAATGAAAACTAAACAAGGTGTCCGGGGTGTTTGAAAGAACGTCAGGACGTTAACCTGCGACATGTATTAATGAAAATGTCGTCACATGAGCCACCATAGTTGGTGATATAAAAGATAATCATGCAATGAAAATGAAACCTGTTCTTCAATATCATCTGGCGAAGCGCATCATTTTGTGAGCTATTTATGTGACGCGTTTTGTGTCATATGACTACCCGCTATCATTCCACTCCACAGACTCAGGTTACTGACCGTCAGTGCCTAACAAAGTCAGTGCAAAAACAGGTAGGGCCTCCAGTTACACAGCGTCGGCTGGACAGTGTGGTCTAGACTGGGTACACCACGCAAAAATGGTGGATCATCCTGCACATCTGCAGGCAGATCTGCAAGACTACGAGTGCAGGACTGTTACTGCTGGACACGGCTGCGCTTGTCAAGCGCGCG